CCCCAAAAGTCTACATCATCAAAGTCTACAAAACGACATAAGTTTAAAATCTGGATAATAAAGTCATCAACAAAGCATAAAAGTTTAGACATCTCTAACTACGAGACTAATCTAACTCGATCACTTCTCACTGCTGGGCCCACCTGAAAGGGGTTTTGCAAGCAACACATAGACAAATAGGAAAACACCCGTTAGCACGAAGCTAAATATAACCACACTCAACCCTGTAAAGTACTATAGAATATACTTTGAAAACATTTGATTTCACTTGTATACAACAAACTCATCTCATATACATCTTTAGATCTGTCATATACTTTCTAGATGCTTGCAACCTATAATATCCTCAAACATGCTTCAAACATAAGACTTAACAACCTAGATACTTCAACATGTAAACTTCACAATAAACTTAACAAACAACTCATGCTTACAAGTAATATCATGCTAATAAACTATATAATAGGTATTCTCATGCTCTCAAATTCTCATCACATAAACTGGATATACAAGGCTTCAAATATGACTATACGTTCATGCTCGATGTACGAACTTAAATCGACATTTTCATTATAAAAACACATACGATATTATACTCAAATGCAATCTTGTGCAATACTATAGTCACATGCATGCAATCCCGTGCAATACTATACTCATACTCATATGCAATCTCGTGCAATACTATACTCATACTCATATGCAATCTCGTGCAATACTATAAATATATACTCATGTACACTCGTTGTAAAAAATAGAGTACTTTTTGTGGAGGTCTCATTGAGTCTCTCTTGACTCGCTTTCTTTCTCTTGAGTCTCTCTTGACTCACTTTCTTTTCTCTTGAGTCTCTCTTAACTCACTTTCTTTTCTCTTGAGTCTCTCTTGACTCACTTTCTTTTCTTCTCACTCGTAGACGGCTCAGGGTTTCACCGTAGCGTAAATTGCCCCATCGGGAGCGACGTAAATCCGACCCAATATCTCCTACCGTCTACGGAACCAATCTCGTGGTTCTCACTCTGTGGAATTATGTATCGTAACGTGGGAATACGCCGCGTTACATATACTGGGACCGCAATGTCCATAAAATCATCCGAGAGGACATAGTCCAAACGGGATCCTCCAAAACCTCACCGATATAGGTAATACATAGATATATCTCTCATGCATCAATCTCATGTATGCAACAACTCTACTACTCAATGCAACAAAGAATGATATACCACATGCTCATGACTTTTTGAAAGTAATACTTGGCCTCACGTTGGCCCCTTATGCATTTTTGAAATATGACATATGTGAGATGCAAAATACTCTATATATAACATGCTTCTAAACCATGTATATAAACCATAAAATACTCAAGAATATAATATCATGCTCGGTTTGCAACATAGCAAATTCTATACATTTCTACCAACAAAATATGCTTCAATTCTCATTGATCAAATATCACATTTTAGTCATGCTTTCATAATAAATTATATTCTCAAAGGATCATGCTTCTATACTCAATACAAAATATCGTCAGATCACATAGTCAAGCATTTCTCATACACAGTGAACTTAGCAAAATATGTACTGTGTAGCAAATCATTCAACAAATCCTTCATAACATACTCATTTTTTATCCAAATTCAACAAAGTCAAAGCCAAAACGTGCGTCGAGATGATCCCGAGGTACCGAGCCACAAGGGTCCGTGAGACCTGGCCCAAAACGACACGTAGCTGAGCCACAATGGCCCGATCACTGCACAGATTCTTCCCAGATCAATACTCAGGGATCTGGGGCGGGACTCCTCATGAGCCGCCCCATGTGTCCCGTTACAATACCGGGACTAGGCGGCGGCCCTCCTCTAGGGCCGTGCCCTAGTCCCGTGTAACTCCAGCTCTAGCCGGCGGCCCTCCTGATGGGCCGTAGCTAGGGCCGCTAGTCTAATCTGGTGCACACTGTGTGTGCACCAGATGACATCTTCATCTGCAAAATCAATCCAAACAAGTCCAAAACATTCTCAACAACTCAAAAAAATATACTAGATCACTTCTAAGCATAAACACAACAAAATCTCATAATTTCTACTCATTTCTACTCAATAACAAAGGTTTCACAGAGCCAAAACTCAAAGAGAGAGTCCATGCATGGGGTTATACCTCATGTAACTTCTTCTTCTTGTATGGATCTCTACCTCCTCTCTATTCAAACACCACCTCCTTCACCACCTAAACATCTCAAACACAAGCCAAGACTAAGAAACCTCAGAGATTGAAAGCTAAAAGGAGAGGAAACCTTAAGCTAAGATGGAAAATGAGTGAAGGAAAACTAACTGCAAATTCTTCTTTTGCTTCTATCAGACAAAGGTTTGGGAGAGGCAAGGTTGAAGATCAAAGTTTAACAAATGAATAGTGTTGTTTATATAGGGTGCAAAACCCTAGGTAGAAAGCAAATGATTGGGTGAGGGCAAAAGAGTAATTTCTATGGGCAAAAGATGAGGCAGGAAAGGCTTTGGATGTCTAGTGGTCCACCATGCTCCATGGATCAAGGGCTAGAAATGCTATTTTAAATACTTTGGCGTTAAAAATAAATTTTCTCAAAAGGTTATCTAGATGAACCCTTGTTTAAAGTCTTTTTGAATTCTCTCGGTTTCACTCAGATTGATTTCTCGATTTAAAACTTGGTAAGCGAAGTACCCAAAAATTTAGGAATTTGGAATAAAATAAGTTTCGGTATTGAATTAATTTAAAATGTGGCTAAAATAATTTATTCCAACACCTATTGATCGCAAAAATTTTTAATGGAGTAAAAATGATATGGCTATTTTGAAATTTCTTAAAATTGGATTTATAAAATAAAAATTTGGGTTGTTACAACTAGTGTTTTCTCTTTCATGCCAAACAATTTAATTTAATGATGTGAAAAAATAATAGAGCTAATTTGGGCCTAATTTATTCACCAAAATCAACACTTAAACGATTATAATAAGCCTTGAGTTCTTCTTCATCCTTTGCATTTGGGCTTAACTTGGATTTCCACCATCTTTGAACACGCAAATTATGCCCTGGAAAAGTGTTCACCATGAATGATGAACACGGGCCCAAACGGCGTTGGTTTTACGGGAAAAAAAAATAGTTAATGTGTTGTTAACGACGTTTTGCATTTTATGTTCAGATTATGAATTTACATTTATTAAATTATGAATTTTCTGTTATGACTTATGCAATTATGAATTTACAGTATGCAATTATGAATTTTCTGTAAATTCATAATCTCATAACAGAGATTATGAATTTTCTGTTATGAGATTATGAATTTACATTTATTAAATTATGAATTTTCTGTTATGATTTTTTTGATTTGGACCTTGTGATTGGGCCCATTGATACTCTTAAATGGATCTTCAATATGCTGAGCGGCAAATTATTGTGTGGACCATAATAAAAAGTACATTTTTAATACATTAAATGTACATTATTTTTGTACTGAATGTACATTATACAATATAATATACACTCAGAACAAAAATAATGTACATCCACTGAATATAATATATATTATATTTATACTGAATGTGTATTATTTTTGCATTGAATGTACATTATTTTACCGTAGACAAAATATGGTTCATACAACTTATGTGGACTATGGTCTATACAATAATGATTGATGCTGAGCGGCATCAATAGTGGTATAGATTGGGGTGGGTGGATAGGCAGTAAGAGTAAATAAATAAGTGAAATTGAAATTTGCAGATAATAATTATGGTGATTATAGATAAAATTATGTGTATTTTGTAAAATATAATTTTTACAGCATATTTAATTGACATAATAAATGTGGAATAAAATTATGTGACTTTGCTAATTAATAAAATGGACCCCTGACTCCATTGCCCCATAAATTTGATAGGCCCAAAGAAGAGACCATAATTGATTCCCTGCCTTAAGATTTACAATCTCAATTTATGTATATACTCCGTAATTATTTAGTGAGGGCGAGTACTGAGTATACATAACCTAATTAAAGTATGTAGGTTATGAACTTACCTTCCGTACTCAAATAATGTACTTTCAAATAATATAATTTGTGTAGTTGAAAGAAAAATGCTCTCAATTTTGAACTCACCGGAAAATTGAGGAAGAGCCGTGTCGACGGCAACACGGTCGGCGGAGGTCCAGGATCTCCTGGAAAGAAGCACAAAGAAACCAAAAACTAACGGTGAGGCCCTGATGCCAGAAGAGGAACATGTCGTGATGGAAGGGATTGAGCAATCAAATGGTCTAAACGAGCAAGTGCCATCTCCCGAAAGCCACCATACGAACGCAACACCAGGACTCAATGAAGCGGAGATGCATCAAGTCCCTGGGACTGAGAGACATGAAAGAAGTAATCTGACTACAGCGTTTGATTTGGGGAATAACCAGGCAGATCCATCCATGCAGAAACCAAAGGTCGTATCATTCAGAGACATGCTGACAGGAGGAACACCCATGGAGAAGGAACCAGAGTGTTTGGACTCAGATGATGATGAAGTGGATCTAGATGAAGACCCGGAATGCCCAGAGATTCCCCTAACGATAGAAGACAAGATCAGAATGAGAAAACCTTGGCGCCAATCCTTAATAGTCAAGGTTCTAGGTAGAAAAGTGGGCTACACCTATCTAACTAGACGTCTCAATGCAATATGGAAACCAAAATCGAGGATGGAGGTGGTGGCACTGGATGACATCTACCATGTGGTTCGATTTTGGTTTGCTGATGACTATGAATTTGCTAAATACGGAGGGCCATGGTCGGTAATGGAGCACTACCTAATTGTCCAGGATTGGAAGCCAAATTTCGACCCTAAGTCGGCTAAGACGGAACGTGTTCTGGTTTGGGTGAGGTTTCCCGATCTTCCGATGGAACTACGATTATCCTTACCTTATGAAACTGGGGAGGAAGATCAGTGAACTGAAATATGTTGATGAAGCCACGAGTGTAGGATCAAAGGGGCGTTTTGCGAGAATGTGTGTGGAAGTCGACCTCACCAAACCGCTCCTCTCCAAGTTCACAGCCAAGATGAAGGTTCGAAGGATAGAATACGAGGGAATGTACCAAATTTGCTTTCACTGCGGTGTTTATGGCCATGCAGCAGAAGCCTGTCCCCGGAAACCATCGGAGGAAGGGCACGCGACGGCGGAAGCAGGCGGTGCTAAGGGAAACGATGGACGACAACCAAATAAGGAAAGCGATCAACCGGTGATCATTAGACCGGAAATCGTGGAGAGATATGGTACGTGGATGATTGCGCCCAAAAAAATGTACAGGCAAAATCGCTCCAATAATGGAAAGAATAAGGATCAGAAAGGAAAGGATTGGGATGGAGCTAAAGACCCTAACGGCTCTATGAGTGGAGAGAAAGGATCGCAAAATGGAAAGAATAAAGGGAAAGAAACAGTAGACCAAGGAATTGGATCAGCATCTATGTTTGCGGCTTTGAGTGAGGATATTGTGGACGAAACAATTGAGCTGACTGAGGAATCTAATGAGGGGAATCAATTGGAAAATCAAGTGAGGAAAGTCGGGAAATCAGTAGGGAAAAATAGGGAAAAAGTGAGAAGACCCAATGTGCAAATCTCAGAAAAACAAATAACAAATGAAAAGAATGTGCATCCAGGGGCCACGCAAGTAATGCGGAAAAGCCATGCAGCAGCTTCAACTGAAGCTAGCACTTCCAAGAGGCCTAGCAAGAGCAACCAAGCAGCTGCAGGAGACACACATACAGTAGCAAGGGGTAACTTATTAGAGAAAACGTAGGTTAGTACTACTTATTTAAACAATACTGATATCCCCCCTCATCTGACAAGTTTGGAGGAGGATATTCTGGAACACCATGGTGATCCTCCCGACCTCAATGATGAGGGCTAATGGAGGAAGAACCATGTCATGAGTGTGCAGAGGACAATGGCCGTGGTGGCTGTAACACCCCGAAATTTTAAAACTTTTAAAACTTATATAATAAAGGTGAATTCTCATTAAATCCCAAAATCAAACATAAGAGTGCGGGGTGCTATGCCACATCTGAGCTGGAGAACTCAGATGCACAAGCTAAACTAACTAAATAACCTCATAGCAATGTCAATACATAATCATGGCACGCAGGCCGAAAGGGAAACTAACTACTCTACGCTCCAGATCTCTAGCGCGCTCCGGTGTCTACTCATCCGTGCCTGAAAGCCAAATATATCTATTCAGCGAGTGATGCTGGTAACCCACTCCAACGCGTTGAAATACAATATAGGTAGATATATATATATATATATGAAAACTGTTTTGAAGTAAGAAGATATATACTTAGGAGACTCTAGCTTTAAAACCAGGAATAGACTCGACAGGTAGGGATAAGCACATTCAACGATGTTAAACAGTTATATAGAGACAATATCATAAAGAACATGTATCTAAGGTCACAGTTCACTTCCAAATCATTCACATAATCAACCAATCATCATTCAAGTCACACAAGCATACTTTGGTGGCGCCACGGGACCAATCGCATGGCCCGAACATGAGGGTTAGTACATATAGTACTAACACGGCCCCGCAGCACCCTACCTCATACCGCAGCATGAAGGGGGTTGATCGCAACCAACCGCATAGACCGTTGACGAACTCAACGGCGGATCACAGCCCTACACACTGCTAACGCGCTTAGTCGGTGGACTGTGATCCTCTTTACAAGGGGGGACTGCGACCCTACACACCGCTTGATGAACTCAGTCGGTGGGTCGTAGCAGATCAAGCCCTACACACTGCCTGAGGGACTCATTCGGTGGGCGATTATCTTCGGAGACTACGACCCTACACACCGCTGGCCCATCACTCGGTGGATCGCAGCCAACCATAGCCCTACACACCGCCTGATCACTCATTCGGTGGACTACAGCCTTCCTCGAGCTAATGGTCCTACAAAACGCCTGACGCGTCCAGTCGGTGGACCACAGCACACGAGGCCCATGTGGACCGCAGCCCAAGAAGTGAATCACTGACCGCAACCAGGAAAATGAACCGCAGCTCATAAGTAACCAATTTGACCGCAGCCAACTTCTGAACCGTAGCTCAAGAACACCCAATTTGATAGCAAGCAAATTGGGGAATCATGCATCACATAACACATTGTAGCATGTAATAACACATTGGGAAGGGGGAGATGTATAAATAAACTTACGTGTGATCATTCACATACTAAGAGTAGTCCTAAGGGGTTCATGAATTTTTCTCCTAGGCCAACGGGTTACCGATTCACTAGCATGCAATTCCTAAGACTCTTCTATCCTACGAATGGCACCCGAAACATCAAACTAGACTCAGGCATGACAAACGGGGTCCGTTGGGACACCATGGGGAATGGGGAACATCAAACGGGGAAGCTGAGGACCCGGGGTGGGTAACAGACCAGCGGGTAGCCGGTGGGTGGAGGGCCACCCACCGGCTGCCCGCCGGCGACGATCTTCCGGGCAGCGGGTGGCCGGCGGGCAGACGTCTGCCCGCTGCCTGGCGGTGATTCTCGGGCAGCGGGTAGGTGGCGGGTCCCCCTACCCCCTACTGACTCTTTCATCAAACCCGAAACCATGCTTAGACACTTTTAAACGTAAATAACGACACCACATGGGCAATTAACGGATCAAAAGCAAGAATCATATTGAACACATCCTAACGTGGCTTCTAAACATAACAACACCCGAACATGCGAATTCCCACCCAAATATAAATCAAGAAAATCACAATGCAAATTCCCAATCCAACCTAGGGCTCTAATCCCATCCAAATCATCAAAATCATATTTTATCTCTAACATCAAGAAACATCAAGATTTATCAAGAATCATCACATAAATATCAAGAACCTCTTTTTGATATCAAGATCATCAAGATCACATATAAAATCATCACTTCAATCAATAAGATTATATCACGATTATCATAAAGGAATTCATCAAGACACAAGCATATAGAGGGACCCAAAGAAGGAGATTATAGCAAAGAAAATAGGTTTTGTTGAGACATGGGTTACCTCTTAGCCTTAATTAATTTCCTTGGCTATGAATGGTCTTTCTTTAAGATTTCTTCTTTCTTGATTTCTCCTACGGGAATTCTTGGGAATTCTTGTGTGGTGGAAGCTATTGTGGTGTGAGTTCTAGGTGTCTCCTATGTTCCTATTTATATATCTAAGAGTCCCAATTAGGGTCTAAGTGGTATGGGTTTGCTAATTCTATTTCCTATAGGACTAAGGGATTGGTTTTAGGGATAAGGGATCATGGGCTTATGGTGGACCTTTCCTAATTAATTAATGAAATTTAATTCTTTCTTTTGGGTAAATGATTAAATAATTAATTGGTTTTAGAGGCCGTAACACGGGGTGTTACAGTGGCACCTCGGAAGAGTTCGCTGCCTAGGTTATGTCTTGTGCTCGTTTCTTGTTTGCTCTTTTTGTGTGTTTGTTGCCCCTGTTGTGTCTTCCTATGAAGATTATAACTTGGAATTGCCAAGGTGCAGCATCTAAGAGGTTTATTAGAGCTGCCCTAACAGTCATTAGGAAACATAAGCCTAATTGTTTTTGTGTCCTTGAGACTAAGTCTCAGGTATAGGGGCGGACGACACTTGTATCAAACTTGGTTTTGATCAATGGCTTCGCGTAGAAGCTGTGGGGATGAGTGGAGGCAAATGGATCCTCTGGAACAACTCTCTCAAGCTGGATGTTCTAAGCACCAATCCCCAATTCGTTACTTTGGAAATCACGAACAGTAGGAATATGGTGTGGTCCATTGCAGTTGTGTATGCAAGCCCCTCCCATAATCTACGACATAAATTATGGTCAGATTTAGGAAGAACTCAGCACGGTTTGGATGAAGCTTGGATTGCTATTGGAGACTTCAACTCAATCAGAAACTCTGAAGAAGTCTATTGCCGTGAGAGTTTCAATGAAAGACGAAGTAGAGAGTTTATAGAATGGATAAGCCGAGAGAGTCTCATTGATCTAGGTTTCAGCGGATCGCAGTACACCTGGAGACGTGGAACCACCGTCGAAACCTTTAAAGCTGCTCGTCTGGATAGATGCCTGTGTACGGAAGCCTGGATTGACAAGTTTCCGAACGCGACCGTATCGCATATACCGAACCTGACCTTGGATCACAACCCCGTCCTACTAACTCTGGAAAACCAGACTAATTATAATAGACCGAACAGATTTCAGTATCAAGCAGTTTGGGGTTTGCATAAAGACTTCGGTAAGATTGTTACTAATACCTGGAGGAGTTCAACCAACACTGGACTTGATTTTGATTCAAAACTGAACCTTATGAAAGAGAACTTAAAGACGGAGAAAGGTGGCGATTGGAGACTTAGGAAAAAAAAAAGGAAACAGACCATTGCTAGGATTGATGGTATCCAACGAGCCAGGAACTATGGTAAGAAAGGAGGCTTAATAAAACTAGAAGCTAAGTTGAAGACGGAGTTGGATGATATCCTTTATAAAGAGGAGCTTATCTGGTTTCAAAGATCGAGAGAGGAGTGGATTACATCGAGTGACTGCAACACTAAATACTATCATGCTATAAAGAAGGTAAAAAAAAAGCAAAAAATCTTGTGTCACGCTTAAAGGACAGCAGTGGAAACTGGACCTCTGACGAGGAACATATTATGAAAATGTTACAGGAACACTTTCGGGCCCTTTTCATGAGGGAAACAACAACGGCAAATACAAGGTATGAATGTCCAACCTTAATAATGCTTGAACAAACTGATGTCTTTATTTTGTGTAGGAATGTCACGAAGGAGGAAATAAAACCAGCTGCTTTCTAAATGGCCCCTTACAAGGCACCAGGTCCAGACGGGTTCCATGCTGGCTTCTACCAAAAAACTTGGAAGGAGATTGAAGGAGATTTAACTGACACAATCCTGGAGATCTTCCGTACGGCAAAGCTGCCAAGAAACTGGAATGACACGCTTTTAGCTTTGATTCCAAAAGTGCAATACCCCGAGTTTGTCACCCAGTTCAAACCTATTAGTCTTTGTAACGTCAAGTATAAAATTGTTACTAAGATTATCACGAATAGATTGAAGGATGTTATGAATCAGGTAGTGGGAGAGGAGCAAAGCAGCTTTGTGCCACACCGCCAGATCACAGATAACATTGTGGTGTACCAGGAACTCCTCCATACCATGAGGAATAAAAGCGGTGGAACAAAAGCGATGACCCTTAAGATTGATCTAGAGAAAGCTTATGATAGACTCTCTTGGAACTTCTTGTAGGACACGCTCCAAGGTTTAGGTTTAGAAAAGCGTTGGATAGACATTATTATGGAGTGTGTTCGGACTCCAAAGCTTGCTATCCTCTGGAAGGGCTCACAACTGGAATGGATCACGCCCACACGAGGCATCAGACAAGGAGATCCAATCCCCCCTACTTGTTTGTGCTTTGTATGGAACGTCTGAGCCGGATGATAAAACAAGAAGTCAAGGACAAAAATTGGAAGGGCATTAAACTCTCAAGGTATGGTCCTGAGCTCACTCACCTTTTTTTCGCTGACGATATAGTTTTAATTGCAGAAGCCTCCTTACAGCAAATGAAGGTAATCAAAAACTACCTCTAGAAGTTTGAGGATGTTTCGGGCCAGAAAGTCAGTGTCCAGAAGTCCCAAATTTACTTTGGGAAAAATGTTGCTCCTAGCCTGGCACAAGCCATCACGCATGAGGCAGGCTTTACTCACACGGAAGACCTGGGGCGGTACCTTGGTGTACCTTCAATTCACGGTAGAGTGACACGAGGCATTTTTGCACCCTTACTTTAAAAGACTGATGGGCGTTTGGAGGGCTGGAAAGGGAAAAATTTGATGCTGGCAGGTCGCATTACTCTGGCCCAAAGTGTCCTAAACGCCACACCTTACTATATGATGCAATCTATGCTTCTCCCTAAAGGGGTTTGTGATGCTATTGAGAAGAGAATACGTCAGTTCATCTGGAGGGGTGGCATGCATTTAGGAAACTGGGATGGAGGCATAGGTCTTAGAAGAGAATACGTCACGAAACCGAAGAAACAAGGAGGCATAGGTCTTAGAAGACTAAAGGAAATGAATCTTGCATTCCTAACGAAGGTGGGGTGGAGAATTCGCACAGAAAGTCAACATCTATGGGTAAAAGTCATTATGGGCAAATACATGCACAACAAGTCAGAGGATAGCGTTTTTATAAAGAAAAACGAAAGCTCAAATCTTTGAGAGGGGTTTGTGATGCCTACCCTATCCTTTCTGAAGGAGTGCACAGGAACCACAATAGCGACAATATATACTGGAGGCTAGAGCCGAGTGGTTGTTGCTCGGTCGCCACGGCGTACAATGTCGCTCTCAAGTCAAATACCGAAGCTAATGATCCCGTGTGGGCAATAATCTGGAAACTGAAGTTACCCAGGAAAATCAACACCTTTGTCTGGATCCTAAAGCACAATAAATTAATGATGAATGTGGAGCGCAAAAAGAGGGGGTTCACGGCTGATGCACGATGTGGGACCTGTCACTCACAAGAGGAGAATATCCTGCACTGCCTACGGGATTGCAACGCAGCGAAGGAAATATGGGAAGTATTCCTACCCTCTGGGGCTAAAAAGTGGTTTTATTGTATGAATTTTGATACTTGGCTTGTCCGAAATGTTACAGGTAAATCCAATGGCGAGAGAGAATGTGATTGGCCAATGCAATTTGCGGTAATTGCATGGTGGAACTGGAAGTGGCGCTGCAATAAAACTTTCAATGATGATAGGTGGAGCTTAAAAAGAAGAGTTAGCTGGATCAAGGAGCAAGTGAAAGCCGTGACTACTGCAATTACTCGGCAGAAGGTACCCAAAGGAACGGTTGCGCAGAATCGTAACATTGAGCCAGGCTGGGCTATCTGAAATACGGATGATTCCTTCTCCCCTTCAAGCCATATGACCAGTTGCGGGGGAATGTTGCGAGACCACGAAGGAAACTGGATGAAGGGCTTTAGTTGCATGACGCGGACTGATAATGCAACAGAGGCAGAGCTTTGGGCGATCTACTTGGGTCTAAAGTGGGCTTGGAATCAAGGCAACTGGAAGGTCCACATTTTAAGCGATTCGAAACAGGCGGTTGAATGGCTAAATGAGCAACATGCCATTCTTGGTGACTGCGGTACCTTAATCAAATGGTGCAAGGATTGGCTGTTAAAAAAAGATTGGTCAACTATCGTGGAACACATCCCCCGGGAAGAAAATGCTGCGGCGGATTGGCTAGCCGGAGAAGCTCCTCGACGGCTCTGCGACTGGATGGATTTTCACCACCCACCGAAGGAAGTTCGTGACATTCTATGCACGAACATTGGGACTGTTGTGTCCGCTAACATTAGCCACTAGCGTTAGCTAGGTAACCCCCCCCCCCACCCCCCCTCCTCTTTTACCAAAAAAATAAAATAATAAAGTATGTAGGTTATAAGTACTATTTCGACCTAAACCTTTAATTGGCTCAGCGATTATTAAGAGACTTTGACTTGGTCACTGTGTTAGATGGTGAAAACCTTAGGTATATATAAAAAAAATGATCCAATACACAATTTAGACTTGTGAGACTGCACTGTACTGTTAGAAACATGTGACAATAGATAAAATAGTTTTGCAACCAACTGGCCACGCCGGACAATGTTACAAATGGTGTCATTTAATCGTATTAATTCATAGTTATGAAGGAGTAGAAGAATAATGGTAAAATTAAATAGAATTTTATAAGGGTATAATCATTTTACCGGCCAGATTCTAATTTTCATATATGAAGATTCAAACTCCTACATTGCAGCTTTCAGTCGTGACATCAAGTCGAATCACTTTGTTAAGTCATGCGATTTATTTATTTAGGTAACAAAAGGGACAATTTTAAGTAGCACGGAAAGGAAATGAAACACAGGAAAAGATATCATACAAAATGCATGAGAAGCACAATATATATATATATATATATATATATATATATGTATAGAATTGCACTCAGGTGCGAATGCTTCGCCCAGGAGCGAAATAGGAATGGATTCTGTCCGTCCACGTGTCCGGATCTAATGGATGAGAATCACTTATTTTTTTTTTAAAAAGCGCGGTGACATTTTCGTAAATAATTGAACATCGAAGTGCAAGTAAAATGTATTACAAGTGCATGTAAAATGTATTATAGGTGCAAGTAAAAATTTACACTGAGCATCAATACTAAGTGCACCTATAGTTATAAGTAGTTGCACCTATAGTTCTAAGTAGTTGCACAGATAGTTATAAGTAGTTGCACCTAGGTGCATTAATGTTTGCGGGTGGTTTTCAAGGGTATTACTACTCGCTGAACTGAGATCAATGAATGTTAACAAGGCAAAATTACATGCACTTATAGGTGAAAGTAGGTGCACTTGTAAGTGATTTTACTTGCACTGCGATGTTCAATTATTTACAAAAATGCCACCGCGTTTTTTAAGCTATTAGATCTGGACACGTGTCGTGCACTGATTCATTCGCATATTCCTTCCTGGGCACTTATTCGCACCTGAGTGCATCCCTATATAATATACTATTTTTAGAAATTAAATTTTGATTTTTTTAAACAAAAAATTATTCAGAATCGTTTTAATAAAGTTCTGCGCATTATAGACATCAAGACATTGACATAGTTGTCTAATGGAAAATACTTGGTGTACTCCCATTTTAAACTCCCAATTTGTACTCCCTCTCACATATTCTAATTTGTACTCCCTCTCACATATTCTTGATGTAGACATTTTTCTGTGGACCCACTTGATAAAAATAACCAATCTTGGATTGCCACCTCATGGAGAGGAAGTAGAATTTTGGGAGTCTATGTAGTAGAACTCTTGTCTAATCACACTTTGCATTCTTCCACTTTCTCCCTACCTCTTTACATGCAATAATTTTTCTCTATTTATCTTTTACCTAGGTGAATTTTATATTTTTATATTTATTAAGTATTCTCTCAACCTTATTCTACATGTTAGGTTTATTATTCATTGGTTAAACTAATTCTACTTATTTTCTTTAATATTTTTATTATTTTATTTTTTAATGTTTAATAGTACTTTCAATGTAGTTTCTAAAGATATAAATTTTATATTCTAATTATGAACTTAATATCTTTCAAAAAATTTCTAAACTTAATATTATATATAAAAAAAATTAAATTGTAATTAACTTCAGTCTCACTCAGGGCCAAATAGCATTAAGCCAATGATAGTGGTCGAGTTGGTACACCTGACATCTTCAGAGTGTGTAGATTGTGTGGTTAATATATAGGGGAGGATAGTACGAAAAATACTACTTGTATTCTCAAATTCTACTTCTGATTTTTACTCTCTCTCACAAATTTTGAATGTAGACAACTTCTTTTGGACCCACAAAATAAAAATATCATATCCATCACTACAAGAAAAATGCACATAGACAACACTAGAAAGACAACAGTTTTTAAGAAAAGTGTTGTCTTTTGTATAAAAGACAACAGTTTGGTCCAAAACCGTTGTCTTTGATGCAACACTTTTGTCAAAGACAACGGTTTTTACTTAACCGTTGTTATAAGTGTGTTGTCTTTGTGCATTTTGTGAAAAGACAACACCACAACGACAACGGTTTTTAAAAACCGTTGTCTATGTGCGTTTTTTTTTTAAATAAGACAACGGTTTTTTTAACTGTTGTCGTTGGTGTGTTGTCTTTAAGCGCACTGGAATACACAACACTAGAAAGACAACGGTTGTTTAAAACCGTTGTCTTTGTGCGCTCTTTTTTTAAAAAAAGACAACGGTTTTATTTAACCGTTGTCGTTGGTGTGTTGTCGTTAAACACAATCGAATACACAACACTAAAACGACAACGGTTTTATAAAACCGTTGTCTTTGCATGTTCGTTATTTGTTTAAGACAACGGTTTTATTTAACCGTTGTCTTTGGTATGTTGTCTTTAAGTGTATTTGAATACACAACACTATAAAGACAACGGTTTTAAACAACCGTTGTCGTTGCGCATCATTATTTAACAGGTATATAAAATAAAAATGAAGATGTTAACTAGAAGAGTCGAACCTATGACCTCATGCTTAACAAGTACACAATTTTACCAACTACACAACACAACCTCTTATGTTTAAAAGTGCAACATCTGGTATATAACTGGGTTGCTTCTGTGTTGTTTGTGAAAACCAAGACAACAATTTTAGAAAATAGTTAAAGAATTCCCCCCAAGAAGAATAGAACCTAGGACCACTAACATAATAAACTAAGTTAAACCCACCAAGCGACAACAACACTTATGTAGACTACAAGAAAAACAGCTTTTAGTGACAAAAATTTAGTGACGGGTAAAAAAATCCCTCATTAAATGTATTGTTTGCATAATTTTTGTGACGGTTAAAAATTACTCTAGTTAAAAGTTTATGATTTAGTGACGAAATTTTAATTTTATATTTATATTAAAAATATACTCTCACTATTAGTACAAAAGATGTGTTACTCTCACTAACAAGCTAAGGTTAGCTATATGTTGGTAATCGACCCTTCCGGCTAGCGCATGACTAACAAGGTTGAAACTGTTGGTAATCGACCCCTCCGGCATGCCTGAAACACGTTGAGAATGGATATGAAAGAGTAGTTGATCGATGCCGTACAATTTTCTATATCCCATTTCTTTTGCCGCCGCGATCTTAATTAGCTGTATGTCATAATTACCAAACTATATATTCATAATTTTTGAATTGAAATGCATATTCATAATGATTGAATAACTCTGATCTATATTCACATACAATTACAGAACGTTGTGTTTATAATTTGCGATGTTCATATTCCCAAGTGTTTATAACTATACATTTTAGAAATTGTGAATCAACAATACAGAAATTATGAATCTGCAGTATAGAAATTATGAATTTACTATATATAAATTATTAATCTATACAACTGTATTTAAATTAGAAATTATGAATCTACATTATAGAAATCTATGAATCTCGTGTTCTGTACCTATATACCCGATTCTATTTTAATTGACCGGATGTAGCGACTCGAGTAATTAAATTATTATTTTGTTATGAAATTTCCCTCTAAGCTAAGACAAATTAAAATTTCCCTCTAAGACAAACTTGGGAAATTTTTGTCTTCCCTCCCAGACAAAAGAGCGCAAAATTAGGGTTAGTCCAAAATTGTCTCCGCCACGCCAGTCTTCCCTCTCCGCCACGCCAGTCTTCCCTCTCCGCCACGCCAGTCTTCCCTCTCCGCCACGCCAGTCTTCCCTCTCCGCCACGCCGGTCTTCCCTCTCCGCCACGCCAGTCTCCGATAACCTCCTCGTGTGCTCTCCGCCGACGGCGTACCGCCCTCGCCGACCGCCGACTGCGTACCGCCCTCGCCGACCGCCGACCGCGTACCGCCCTCGCCGACCGCCGACTGCGTACCGCCCTCGCCGACCGCCGACCGCGTACAGGAGAAAACACGTGTGCGAGCTACTCTTCCTTCTGAACCACAGCGCATGAATGGAAGGTATAAGCTTATATGGCTTTGTGTTTTTCATGCTCTGTGTTCAAACTTTGGTCCTATGCTCTGAATATTTGACCTGATGTTTCAGGCCGGCCCTTTGTTACTGGTACACTCTTCATAGACATGTAGTATCTGTTAGTTCATTGATTGGATTGGACATGATTGATATAAAAGATGGGAATAGAGTAGGAGGAAAACAAGTTGCAGTTTGAGAAAGCAAACCTTAAATCTTTTGATCACAACCTTAAATCTGTTGAGATATAGCCACATAAAAGCAGTGGGAGTGCAGAACAAAGTCCTTGTACATAATTGAGGAAGCTTGTAGTATTTGATCCTTCTGTTGACTGTTTGAGTAATAGAAATTGATGTAATTAGTTTGTAACATTCTGCAGATGGTTGAACTAGGAAGACTGAGGAGGAGGATAATACACTGAGAGCTGCTGTGGAAGCTTTTGGTGAGAGTAATTGGCAGGTTGTTGCTGCTTCCCTTGAAGGACGGACAGTTACCCAGTGCTCCAATAGGTCAGTTATATTTTTTAATGGTTAGAGTTTGTCATGGCATGTTTATTATTGAGGTTGAGGTAATCAAACTATTCTATGTGATATTGGCACTAGGAAATCTTAGTTTTTTGCAGAATTATATTGCTTAATTTGTTCTGAGGTAACTGCCACATTAAGGTTATGATTGATACTTTTTAATGAATTCAAGTGTTATCATTTATTCTGCCTAATCTGTTGTGAAAGGATTCACATGTGGTTGAAAGTAAATTTGTAGTTATATGAGTACTTGAGCCTTTGACTACACATTGCAGTTGAATGAAATAGAGTATACTTATGCAGATTTACTTCAAGGTATTAATGAAGTTATTGTATTCTTAAGTCTGTAATATGTATGGTGGTATTTATATCTCTCTCTTTTGCCATTCCACCATGTCAGACCTCTCTCAAACCTTACTACTCCTTGCTCCATTTATACCTCCCCTCAGATTCTTCCTATCACTTCCATTCTCGTTACTTTTTCTAGCAGCCCTATTTGTTCTAGAACCTGCAACAGTATCCTCACCAAAAAAATACACTAACAGTATAGTATATATATATACTCTAACAACACTAATTAGTATATATATTTTATACTGTTAGTATAGAATATATATTCCGTGTCAACATTAATTATAAAACATATATATATTTCATCACACATATATATAGTATACTGTTAGTGTGTGTGTGTACATATATATATATATATATATATATATATATATATATATATATATATATATATATATAGTTAGTTAGTTAGTTAGTTAGTATTTTAAGTATGTGGTTTTTGTTTTGCTAGTTACTACTAATTGTATAATTATATTCATTTAATAAGTTTTTGTTTTGGCAATATATGACCGATGCATGCAGCAGGTACCAAATAAGTATGTGGTTTTTGTTTTGGTAGTTACTACTAATTGTATAATTTTTAAGCGATATGAATTTATTTTTCTTGTCACTTGACTGTTTTGTAGCATTGGTGTATAAATAAACAATGGACAAAGAATGGATGTCAAAAGATAGATTATGTTATGAATATGAGGTTGGAGTAGAATCTTTTTTACAATTTGCTAAAAAAAATGCCGTTGATCCTAATTCAATATCATGCCCATGTGCAATATGTGGCAACCTAAGGAAGCAACCTCTTGATACTATAAGGGCACACTTGTACCGTAATGGAATGGATGGAACGTATGTGTCATGGATATGGCACGGGGAGAAGGCTACGTTAAACAACTCAATAGATGATGGCGGTCTAATTAGGGGAGAAGAGCATAATCGTGTTGATGAAAATCCTATAGATATGGTAAATGCTGCTTATGACGAATACGTTGAGGATCCCAACAAATTTAGTAAATTACTAGAAGATGCAGAGAAACCGCTATACGTTGGATGTACTACGTTTACAAAACTATCAGCGGTAGTGAAGTTATATAACTTGAAGGCAAAATATAGTTGGAGCGATGCAAGTTTTACGGACCTTCTGGATTTGTTTGCAAAAATGCTTCCAACTGACAACGTACTGCCTTCTTCTTTATATGAGGCAAAGAGAAGCTTGGTTGCATTGGGAATGGACTACGAGAAAATACACGCGTGTCCCAATGACTGTATCTTATATCGTAAGGAGAATGCAAATTGTACTAATTGCCCTACTTGTGGAACTTCAAGGTGGAAGATAGGCAAGAATTCTAAGATATCCATAGGAGTTCCTGCAAAGGTGTTATGGTACTTTCCACCGATACCAAGATTTCAAAGAATGTTTAGGAGCAAGGATATATCTAAGGAGTTAACTTGGCATAGTGATAATAAAGTTTGTGATGGTTACTTGCGTCATCCAGCTGATGCACCTTGTTGGAGAACAGTAGATGAAATGTGGCCAGATTTTGCTAATGAGCCAAGAAATCTTAGATTGGCTTTATCTGCAGACGGGATAAATCCCCATAGTGTAATGAGTTCTACATATAGTTGTTGGCCAGTCATCATGATTACATACAATCTTCCTCCTTGGATGTGCATGAAGCGAAAATTCATGATGCTCAGTTTGTTGATTTCTGGTCCTAAACAACCCGGGAATGACATTGATGTTTATTTGGCACCTTTGATTGACGATTTAAAAGTGTTGTGGGAAGAAGGTATAGAAGCATATGATGCATACCGACAAGAAAAATTCGTCCTTAAAGCTGTTTTACTATGGACGATCAATGATTTCCCAGCATATGGGAACTTATCAGGTTGCACTGTCAAAGGATATCATGCATGTCCTATCTGTGGTGAGAATACATATGCCAAGAGGTTGAAGCATAGTAAGAAAATGGCATTCACAGGACATAGAAGATTTTTATGTAAAACTCATCCTTATCGAAGGCAAAAGAAGGCATTTGATGGTAAGCAAGAATTCGACTTAGCACCCAAACCATTGAGTGGCCATGATGTTCTGAAAACAGTTGAGGGGATCAATTGTAGTTGGGGAAAAAACAGTGGCAAGCTAAATGCTAAAAGAAAAATTAGTGAATCATGTTGGAAAAAGAAATCAATTTTCTTTGAGCTTGAGTATTGGAAGCATTTGCATGTTCGGCATGTTCTTGATGGCATGCACATTGAGAAAAATGTGTGTGAAAGTATTATTGGCACATTACTTGACATCCCAGGAAAAACCAAAGATGGGGTAGCTGCTCGACTAGACCTTGTGGAAATGAATGTGAGAATGGAGTTGGCACCAAAACAAGGGGAGAAGAGAACGTTTTTGCCACCTGCTTGCTATACCCTAAGCAAAGATGAGAAAAAGAAAGTTTGTAACTCTTTGTTACATATGAAAGTCCCATCAGGCTATTCATCTAATGTGAGAAACCTTGTCAATGTGAAGGAGTTGAAACTTGTTGGTCTTAAATCTCACGATTGTCACACTTTCATGCAACAGTTGCTTCCAGTTGCTATTCGAGGTGTGTTACCCAAACATGTAAGGTATGCTATCACTCGGTTCAGGTAGATGAGGAAGAAAACATGTCGGGTTCTCAAGAAACCCAGTCAACGAGGAGCACACGAGGTCGTACCCAAATGCATAAGCTTGCTATGCAAAGGGCACAAGGACTGAAGAAAGACGTACAATTCAATGAACTAGGACAACCAATTGGAGATAGTGCTGCAGAACTACAAAGTTACATTGGTGTCCTTGCAAGAGAAAAGGTGAAGTTGAATTTTAAGACATGGAAACATGTGCCACAGGATATTAAAGACAAGATATGGGACGCTGTTAATGTAAGGAAAATCTAATTCGTTTACTTAGTATTTGTGATATTTAACACATTAGTCGTTTAATTCTCACAAAATTTTATCTATGTAGTTGAGCTTCAGAGTTCCGGCAATATTCAAGAAACCTTGCTTGAGTTCAGCAAATGACAAATGGCGGCAATATAAAACACAACTCACAAATAACTTTATTTGGAAGAGACTGAATGATGAAGAAAACTTGCACAAACCACCCCCAGGATATGGTATTATGGGAGATGAATGGAGTCAATTTGTGATTAGCCGCATGTCCGAAGACTTCAAGGTAACCTCAAAACTAGAAGTCTATCTATATGTGTATATATCAATTTAATTTAAAAAGTTCAAATGCCCACCACAAGCTTTTGCACAGGTATTCATCTTGCAAAGTGTGTTTAACAAAAATAGCAACTTATCCCATTGAACAATTTAGCTCTATACAGTACACAAACTTGCAGAAACCACACCCATGTTTGATGCCACATGATTTCTGACTGTCCTGTGTAATTGCAGTAATATGATTTGTTGTGATGCTTAGTCATTAAGATTATGCTTTGGCCATCTGTCCTCTGGAAAATAACTAAAAAATTAAATCCCCCACCTATGAGGCATATTCAATTAGAATATATATATATATATATATATATATATATATATATATATATATATTTATATATATATATATTAGTTTAGCATTTATGTATTCAGGTTGTTCCAAACCGTATAACAATTAAGATTTATTGTAATATTACCAATTAATGAGTTCAGTTAAGAAATCAAAAAAGATGAAGTGTTCCCCCTTTTCCTCATTTCTGTTTTTATCATGTCTGTTTTCACTTTTCAAGCATGAAGCATCATCTTTGTCTTAGAAATATAATGTCAAGTTTTGATCATGTTTGTCTTAGAAACTAAGCGAGCAGCAAAAGGTACGAAGAAAGCAAAACCTTTATCCACATAGGCTTGCTCGTAAAGGATATGCGCGTCTTGCTAGTGAAATTGTAAGTATTTATCTCTATTCACTTTCACTAATAACTTAAACTCATTTTCACCCTTAGTTTGACATTGATAAATCTTCTTGGCTGTAGTCAACAGAATTGTGTGATGATGACGAAGTGAATAGAGCTATACTTTGGAAGAAAGGGAGAACTAGTAAGCAAGGAGAAATAGAAGGAGATGTTTTGAAGACAAAATTTACAAAGATTGTAAGCAAAACCTTTAATTTACTGGTATTTTCCTCTTTATGTATTTCGAAAGATTGTGGTTATCATGGTCATTTGTCATGAATTACAGGATGAATATATTCAGCAAAAGCAAGATGGTTTGTTGCAACTTCAAGGACCAAATGAGGACATCCTGACACAGGCTCTTGAATCTAAGGAGCATGGAGGTCGGGTGAGGGCTATAGGTGGACATGTCAATCCCTCAACATATTTCAGATTGGGTAAAGGGATGCTTCCTAACCATGAGAAAAATGTCCTTCTAAGACGACAAGCAACAGTAGAAGACAGAGTTGCAAAGTTAGAAAATTTGGTCCTTCAAAATGTTGCCTTTAAATCATCTCCGATTGAAGAAAAAGGGAGTTGTACTGCAAAGGATGCAAAGGGTGCGATGAAGCTGAGTGAAGAAGAAATTGGTTTTATGAAACAAAAATTGGATTTCGAAGATGATGATGATGAGCTGCAGTTTATTGACAAAGAAGATGTCTTGGAGGTAAATATTCCCTCTTTACTGAAGTTTACATTTTACTTAGTTTATTAGGCAAAAATTACTATCTACGTATTGGTGCCTCTGTCAAATGTTTTGCAGATTTGCTTCATCCTCTCAATTTTCAAATGTTTTGCATTTTTCATATAAACTGTAGGAGATGTTAATTTGTGCATGTATATAATTCACATGTCTTGGTTAGTATATTTATTTATTTACCTAATATGTGTATATTTTGCAAATTAGAAACAATGTAAGAAGAAACCGAGCAAGGAAGTCAAAAAGCTTGAGTTGAACTCCTCAAGTATGCCTAAGTCATTATGGCTACTATACTGTTATTACAAGCGTGCACTTGGGAATGGAGAGAGTTTAAAAATAGTGCTAGATGAAAATGTCTTCGGGGAAGAATGTACTCTATATGTGCACGACGAAGATGTGACTCCGTTTTGTCAATTGATGCCAATATCGTACACATGTATTGCTGTGTACATATGGTATGATTTAATATATATTTCGAGTCAATTATATATACTTATCACTTCTATGCTTTGTTATTCTAATTCAGTTTCCATTCCAATGTTAGGTATTTGTATAAAAAGATGATGGAAGACAACAAGCTTGAAAAATTCAGATTTATGCAGCCATGTCATGTAGGTCATGTGCCAACGACAAGAACAGATAAAAATTTCCTAGACAAACAGTTGGAAAGTAGGGCACGAGCTTTAGCAGACAGACTAATTGACAATCCAAGTAGTGCATCACTTTTGGTGCCATGTAATGTAGGGTAAGAATGATTACAATTATACTTTCCATTGCATATTATTTTCTATTGATGTAATATAATTTTGTGTTTCTGTATAGTTTCCATTGGATTCTGACAGTTATCAACGTCAGTAAGGATATTGTTTATTTGTGGGACCCTCTTAGTCATCGCATTCGCGATGATGATTGGAAACATGTTGTAGAAATGTAAGTTTTTTTTTTGTTATTTCTTTCGATTTATATCAGTATGATTATCACATAATCTGAATAATCAACAATATATTTGAAGGGCTATTAAAATGGTTCATGCGGCCTCTGGGAATGGAAAGAAAGGACGAAGTAAAACTGCTTGGGAAATTGTCAAGGTAATTTAATATTTGTAACTAATTAGATATAAGTGTTTGTATATGTTAAATTGTAATGCACATGCAAATCTTATTTAACATTTGTAGGCTCCTCGTCAGCCGGATAGTAACCAATGCGGTTTCTATGTCATGGCTTACCTGAAGACTTTAATTGAGAACATGCCGGACATTGATGATAAAGATTCTGTTCAAGCACTGGTAATAATTCAATTTCTAATTCGTGTTTAAAATTATTTTGATTTCAATGTTTCAAAGTGGAAATATGATGCATTTGAGATTCTTGTTGCCAGTATAATTTTGAGTACTCCATTTATTGTTGATGTCTATTGAATGAATGCTTTTTAGTTTTTAATTTGATCATTTTATTCACAAAGTTTAAAGTGGAGAGATTAGAGAAAATACAAAAGCTCTTGCCTTTAGAACTGCTAAAACTCTATTACCGTATATTGGTTCTTGAAAATTACTCCTAACTTATTTCGAATTTCATTGCAATTACTAATTTATTTACTCACTTTTTACATGTAGTTCCAACAAGTTGAATATGACAAAGCGGTTATTGATCTGGTGCGTTCTGAATGGGCCGATATTATATCAAGTTATATACAGTAGGTATGATTTGATCATTAGAACGTTGTGATCTTTTAGACTTCGTGGAATTGTTTGTTGTAGTATTATGATGACTTCGTCGAATTGTTTTTTGTATTATTATGACTTGGATGATATTTGATTCGATGAGAATTGGTCATGGAAGTATTTACACTTGTTATTTTGAACCTTAGCTTGTGCAAAATTATGTAACTACAGTTGGCCATGGTGAATGGATAAATTGTTTTTTGGTATATGATTAAAATTTAAGCAGGTTAAAAACCGTTGAGACAACGGTTAAAAATCGTTGTCTATTTTACAATAGACAACAATTTGAAACTGTTGTCTTTTCTACAAAAGACAACAGTTTATCTGCGTGACTTTTAACAACAGCGATTTCAACAACACACAATAGACAACAGTTTATAACTGTTGTCTTTTAAAGAAAAGACAACAGTTACAAAACCGTTGTCTATGTGCATCACTTTTAACAACACCGGTTTCAAAAACATTGAATAGACAACGGGTCAAAAACCGTTGTCGTTGATAGAAATGACAACGGTTTATAACCGTTGTCTATGTGTGTGACTTTTAACAACACCGGTTTCAACAACACTTAATAGACAACGGTTCGAAAACCGTTGTCTTTACAAGAAAAGACAACGGTTAAAAACCGTTGTCTATGTGTATGACTTTTAACAACACCGGTTTCAACAACATTGAATAGACAACGGTTCGAAAACCGTTGTCGTTTCTAAAAAAGACAACGGTTAAAAACCGTTGTCTATGTGTATGACTTTTAACAACACCGGTTTCAACAACACTTAATAGACAACGGTTCGAAAACCGTTGTCGTCTCAAGAAAAGACAACGGTTTTTAACCGTTGTCTATGTGCATGACTTTTAACAACACCGGTTTCAACAACACCTAATAGACAACGGTTCGAAAACCGTTGTCGTTTCAAGAAAAGACAACGGTTTTTAACCGTTGTCTATGTGCGTGACTTTTAACAACACCGGTTTCAACAACACTTAATAGACAACGGTTAGAAAACCGTTGTCGTTTCTAGAAATGACAACGGTTTAAAACCGTTGTCTATGTGCGTGACTTTTAACAACACTGGTTTCAACAACACTTAATAGACAACGGTTGAAAAACCGTTGTCGTTTCTAGAAAAGACAACGGTTAAAAACCGTTGTCTATGCGCGTGACCTACAACAACACCGGCTTCAACAACAGAAGTTTTACCCCTACGACAACGGTTATTAACCGTTGTCTATGTGCATTTTTCTTGTAGTGCATATTTACTACATTAAGGAGTATAATTGATGGATTAGAATTTGGGAGTAATAATAGTAGAACTCAAGGTAGTACAGTCTAGCGGCCTAGCTAGATCCCTTATTAAATAAGCATGGTTTCCACGTACCCTTCTAATCTGTGTGTTAACATTAAAATTGATACCGTGGGTTCATTACCTAACAAATCCAATCAACTTTTTCTAGCTAGTAGGCTTTAATGGTTGGATTATATCTATCTTGGAGATTAATTAATTAGAAATTAAAAAAAAAAAAACAGAAAATATAAGCTAAAAGAACAGCAAACATATAAAAGATACTTATTACTTAAAATTAATGGTAAATAATAACACAAGTAAACAGTTATAGATGTGATATAAAATAAAGTTTAAAACACAAGTGTTTGGTTAAAGAAAAAAGAGTAATGATACAAAATTGGCCCTGTTTGGTAAAATATTTAGTCTATAGGTCAATTTTGATTTATTTGATCACTATTAGCTTTTTGATTTGGTTAAAAAATTTATAAGTGTTTGGTTAATTAGTTTTTTGTAACTCCAAAATGCTAAAATTCAAAAAGTTGTTCAAAACAATTTTTTCAATTAGTTTTTTTGAGAAATGAAATTATACCAAAAAACTATCAACCAACAGCTAATTTACCAAACATATTTCTACAATCAGCTAATGTTATCAACTAATTATACCCTTTAATTAACCCAATCAACTAACAGTGCAGCTAACCGCTATCAGCAAACAGCCATTTACCAAACAGGGCCAAGCTTTATGCACTACATATGTGGACAAGTTGGAATGCATGGAAAAGAAACATAAGATGAAAAAAGAAGAACCTATCACAAGATAGCCAAGGATATGATACTGCCTGGAAAATTAACCATATAAATGGCCTTTTATATATAATAATAATGTCATGATCTTTTCATCATGCATGTAATTAAAATTAAATTAAAGACCTTCTGAAATGGTGCAGGCAAGCTGGCAAGTCATCCTTGGCTACTAAACATCATTCTTCTCATCATGTTAGTGCCCTCTTCCTTTTATGTTGAATTTTCCTTGATCATCAATATAAAAAGGCAAATAAAATCACTTCTCTTTGCCATGGGGTTGAATTGGATTAAGAAGAGAAGGACTTGCATGAAAGGGAGAAGCATGTTAAGTTAGCTAAAGATGACTTGCCTGTAACCCCAACAATTAAGTTTTCTTTTGAGAAATATAATTAAAGTTTCAAGTAGTATAGGCAAGTCATCCTTGGCTACTAAACAAAACTTTTCTCTTCATGCAACTTCTCTCTTCTATTTACTCATTTGATGATATTATTGGCTATGAATAAGTCCCATATTTATAGCTTCAAGAAAAGTGAGAGTGATGCATATATGGTTGCATTGCCCATGCATGCATGTAGTGGTATATTATCCACAATTCTTGACCAAGAAGCAAAATCATGATAAATCAGAATCTTATACTCGTAATTTGAAAAAATAAAAATAAAAATAAAAATAAAAATAAAAAAACTTAATGTATACCACTACATTATTAAGTCTAATCCCTTGCACTTAGCTTTCACATTCTCTTTTGACACATTTGAAAAGAAGATGGTTGAATTTGGGACATTATCTAAAATTACAAACTATTTCCATTTTTTTTGTTATTATTTTTTGTGCTTCTAATAAGGCCGGAATGATACTCATAACATTTCAACTTAAAATTAGAAGTCAATATCACACGACCAAAAGGTCTAGAACTGATTATCCTATATATTCATACTACTATAACTTTCTTGGATGGTATATGTACCTTGTGCAGTTATATATCGCTTTCTTTCTAATTTCTTCTCCCATTTTGACATTCCTTTGCCTGACAACATTATCTCTCTTCCCATGCTCGAATATGTTCTTAAATTTTGAACGGAAGTGATGAGCTCTCCAAAGCATCAATTTAGCACTGGTTATGACAACCTAGGCATATTTTTTTTATTTGCAAGTTGGATTCTATTACTATTTATTAATACGTTGAAAATGTATAATGTTATGGGTTATTTTATTGATAGGTATATAGGTAAACAGTATCATATATAATGAAAAATTGTACATATGGTTAAATTATTAAACATTGGTATAATATCTGGTATAACAAAAATAATATATTTTGATTTATGTGCAAGTTTGTAGCCGCTATCTGAAAGTACGTTCTGGGTGAAACTTTCTTACTTGTGACCTTAATTGACCTTGTTATTCATGGCCTTGTTATTCAGACCAAGAAATTGTCAATAGACAACTCAGACCAATTTTTCTTCTTCCGAACGATCTTCACAAAATTTTGGTTACACACAAAATTTTTGCACTTATCCCACAAGTCCAAAATTCTCAAATTCTAAAAAAAATTCAATTTCTGCAATTTGCACATATTTTTCAAAATTTTCGATTAATTTGCAATGATTAGAGGTTCTGGACGATTTTGGTACTAGGAAAACTTGAGAGAAATAATGTATACTTGCATTATCTGACATAACATGATTGTTGAGGATGAAGGCCAAGTGACAACGTAACTAATTGGGTGGACGGAGAAATTGGAGCAACTGTACAAGCATCGCAAGGCTCAACCGAAGAGTTTCAACAATATTTACAAAAAAAAAAGTTAATTCCAGCGAAGGTCCTTGGTCTTTGGTGACAATTTCAAATTTAGTTCCAGACTATAATTTTTGTCATTTAACAGCCTAGGCGATCATATTTTGGACACTTTTGGTCCTTCAGATGTTTTTCTGGTGAAACCCTATTTTTGGCAAGGGCATTTTTGTCTCTTAAATTTTAAAATTATTTTTTCAATGAGTTAATTCCAGCGGAGGTCTCTTTTCTTTGGAGAAAATTCTAAATTTTGTGCTAGACAATTATTTTTGGCATTTAACACCCAAACTATCATGTTTTAGACATTTTTCGTCCTTCCGATTACTTTTTTCAGTGAAACACTATTTTAATAAAGGCTATTTTTTGATGTAAACGAAGACACTTCTTTCTCTCTCTCACTCTTTTTTTTTTTTTTTTGCTCTACAACTATAGTAGATGAATCACAAAATAATCATGGACTAAAACAATAACAGTTTGACTGAAGCCGACCGGGTGGTGACATCTTGAGCTTTCCAACTGCGTTGCAAAATAATTTCCACGCACCCAGAGGTCCTCACATACTGAAGGAGATGAACAAAAGCCATATGAAGGAGATGGTGCAATTCACGGCTGAAGAGACAAAAATGCCGTTGCATACTTAAAATAGGGTTTCACCGGAAAAAGTCATCGGAATGACCTAAAGTGTCCAAAATATGATAATCTGGATTGTTAAATGACAAAATGATTGTCTAGGACTAAATATGAAATTTCCACCAAAGACAAGGGACCTCTGCTTGGATTAACTCCTTGGGAAAATAATAAAAAAAATTTTAAGAGATGAAAATACCTTGCCTAAAATAAGGTTTCACCGGAAAAGTCATAGGAAGGACCAAAAGTGTCCAAAATATGATAGTTTAAATTAGGATATTAAATGACAAAAATAATAGTCTGAGACTAAATTTGAAATTGTCACCAAAGACAAATGACCTCCGCTGCAATTAACTCTTACAAAGAAATTCCAAGTTACATGACTTGTAATTGCATCATCAACTTCGCACGGATTCGGTTGAGAAAATATGGAGCAATGTGCAATTAATTTAAATATTTGTTTTTTTTTATGTACTTTAAATTTTATAACAACTTTGTAGTTTAATTTTTAAGCAATTAGTAGTTCAATTTTAATTTTA